GATTAGGACCATAATCCTACATACAAAGATAGAATATCATCTCTTTTGTTGCTCAGAGAGCATACCTGGCAGAAACACAACTTCAAACACTGGATTTTTTTTTCTGGAAGCAGCAGGGGAAGTATGTTGGGAGCCTCCCACTAAAATTCCCCAGGAATTAAGGGAGTCAAATAACTCTCCAAAATGACCAATGGATGAAGTCTGTAAGCAGTGTTTTCCCACCACTGTGGAAAAACAAATATTCACAATGAGGTGTGATTAAACCTGTGATTTAAGATTGATGTGGGTGTGGGCTTTATGCTGCTATTTGCTGTAACCACCTTTTGCAAATCTGAAGTGACACTTGAAAAAAAGTGCTGGTGGGTTGTCAGCTGGAGCCCTGCACAGCCCATCACGAGACATGGGAAAGGAATCAGAAAGGAGCTTCTTTTCAGACAATGAGTTCATGCAATGAGTTCAGATAATCTGGGTGGCACAGGAGCCCTTCAGGGTTTTAGGAGTAGCGAGGTTTCATGTCAATGATTTATTCCTGCCATTTTGATGGGAAAAGCCACGTAAATAATTAGCTCTGTATTTTCTGCCTATGTGTGTCACACTGTTTTGCCTCCTACTGAAATCTATCCAGCATCAGATGCACCCAGAAAAAAAAAAAAAAAAAAAAAAAAAAAAGTGTTATCAGAAAGGTATCACAATACGGCTTTTGTGGTTAGTTTTGAGTTTTTTTTCCATGATCAGCCAGAAGCTTTGCTGGATTGATGGTTCCATTCAGAGTCCCAGCAGCTGAAGATGCATGCAGTGTTTGTGTGGAGGTGATGGGAAGATCTCCATCAGGCTTTTTGGACACCGAGTGATGCAGTTACTCGAGCCCAGACTGCTCAGACATGTCTTCAGGGAGATTATTCGCTGTCTTGCAAAAACCAAGGCACCAATTTAGACTTGAACAGGGTGGTGAAACTGTTGGGACAGGTTTTTGCTGGGAAAGAGTTTGGGTCTTTTGAGGACATGATTCAGGCCCTAATTAAAAGCAAAAACATGTGTGTATGGGATGGGATACAGCTGGCAATGGAAAGATCAGAATGGGATTGTGCTTTTTGGCCACTGGCAGTGGCAGCAATAGGATGGGGCAGGTGACAGTGATTCTGGGGAGGCCCAGAGTTATTCATAAACTTGTAACTGTTTTGTCAGTACATATTAGTAAGTGTCCAAAAAGAAAGGGAAAGACAACTTTTAAAATATCGATGCATTTAAGTTAAAGCTTCCTTAAATTGACATTTTATTTTGGAAAGACGAGTGTTTAGAATTTTTTTTAACAAGCATTTTGTCTTTTCCTTTTGAAAAACCACACTTGCCCTCAGCTAGAAACCCAAGGAATATTTAAAGCAGACTTAATCTGCAGAGAGAAGCAAAGCTTTTGGCTGTAAGAACTGAAAGCACTGGGCCACCCCAACACCCACCTGCACGTTTTCATCTTGTTTCTCCTCCCAGCCAAACCTTTTGTTGTCCGTGCTGTTTTCGACCCTTCCCCAAGCCACAGAGTAGGTTCTTGGCCCTGGAACACCTGGAGCCGCAGAGCTTTGTTTCTGTGCATTGGAGGAGCCCAGCCCTGTGAGTTCCATCCGTGGTCTCTCTGGCACTGCAGGGCACAGACACACAGCTCTGCGGGAGCACAGCTCCCTCTCATGACGGCAGCATACTTTAGCACCCAGATGAGCATTTTATTAAAATTGCAGTGAGCCGGGTTCACTGATGTACACACATGCAAATCGCTGACATTCTTTTTATCTGCATGAGACAGTTTTGAATTCTTTATTTCACCCTTTCCCCAGCTGCAAACGTCCCAGATTATCCTCAGAAATAGTTTATTTCTCAGGAGTAGAGAAGCCCTGCTTGCCTTCTCCAAGCAGAGAGCCGAGATGGCAGCCAGCTGAGGTCAGGTTCTCCATCCTCAGAACGCATCGTCAGCTGTTGCTCTGCTTGTGTTGGGCATTAGGCTGATCCCCAGACAGCTTCAAGGTGGGAAAGGAACATAGGAGCTGTGGGTGGATGAAGACACAAATCCCCCATTGCCACCCACCCTGTGGCATTGCCTCATGAGCTAAGCCAACACCTGAATGGGAGAACAGCCAAGAACTGCCCCTATGGGTCCTTTTGTTGCTGCATGGAGTTAAACCATAAGAAAAAGACGCTTGGCTGTAACTCAGTGTGTCTGTGCCACATCAGCATTAGGCACTAGATGTCCTTATGGTGCTACACACCGACAGGGCAGAGAGATTTCCTAACAGGAAATGAGACTTACAGAATGGGGATACCACTGAGTATCTCAAGATCAGCTCTTTGGGGTGGGATGTCCATAGCCGCCTCACAGGCCTGCTGATATCTTGGCAATTACATGAATTAAATTACATGAATTTGATCCCAAAGCAGCAAATGCAGCAATGTTTTACAAATAGCTTCACTTCCTGGAAACCCAGGTCTGGAGAGATGGAATCCCATAAACACAAAGAGGAGAAGCTTTGGGAATGAATGCTGAGGGGCACAAGCAATGTGTGAAATGCCCATTCCTGCATCTTGCTTTTTGCCACGAAGCAGCTTGTTACATCTGATTTCAGTACACCTGCAGGCCCATTTTGCACATTAAAGCAGTGTATACAGCATTATCTAGCAGTTAGGGAGGGATGGAAAACTCATGAGGTCAATTATAAAGACAATCATTTTTTTAGGCACAGTAACTTAACTGTTGTTAAGTGGTTGTTAAAGTGGTGCTCATGCCCATAAATAGTCTTATGTAAATGTATTGATGTGAAAGTTCAGGCTTCCTCATTAATCTGCTTTTCAGACTACTATACACTGTCCCATACGAGGTATGGGAACACAGGTATGAGAAGCAGAGTGATACTGAAAGATCATCAGAAATTGATTCAGTTTTTCCAGGGATTCTCAATTGTTCTGAACTAAATCGTATATTAGGGGGAAAATGCATTGATTTGCTTTATGTGAATGCTTTTGTAGGTACTAAACATGCAAGAATAATGTCGAATATTTGTTTCCTGTAACTACAAAATTACAAGCTCTAGCAAGTAAATGGCCTGCAACTCTATGCAAGGGCAATTAGGTTTGCTAATTATCTCAACTGCCAGAAAAACAAGGCTGTGTAATGCTCCCTTAATACTTAAACAAAGCAATCAAAAATAAAATGAAATAATATAAAATAAAATGAAATTCCATTTCTTTCACAACCCCGAGCAGAAGAGCTGTTCCTAGCACTCAGCCCCAGGCTTTTTGCCTTCCTGCTAGAAAATCTCTTTATTTCCCCTCATCTCTGCAAACAGCAAAAATTACAATGTATTTCAAAATGTAATATAAAAATATATCTGAAATACAAACAAAATAGTGATTTTTTCATGTATTGGGTTATGAGGATACTGCAGGGATTTTATTCAGCAGTGAGTTCAGTCCGTGTGATTTCTGTTACTTAGGTTTTATACAACTTCTGAAGCTCCCCATATGCGTGAGGTTTGCCTCTAGGAATGGCCCCAGGCACAACCTGAGCTCCCACCTGTGGCAGCCTGGCCTTTGGTGGGCTGAGACATTCTCAAAGAAACCCTCTCTGGGGTTATCCTGGGGTTATCCACCCTCCTGGGGTGACCTGGTTGTTTTCTGTCTCTGCCATTGCATTGACCCTGTGGCAGTGAGGGCTGAGTGCTTTGTGAGGGTTTGTTTGGTAGTTTGGTTGTAGCTGTCATCCAGAATCCGGAAAGAAATCTCTCTAACTCCAGTGTGGTCTTAGAAAGTGGCATTCCTTTATTCCTCACAATACATAGGAGGAAACTTGACAAATCAAATGCACATTCTCTGAGTTCAAGTTCTGCATTTAAACAGTTAAGACATACATATGCAATACATTGGTATACATATTCATTCTTTTCCAAGAACTCGTTAATGTATGTTAATGTCCCTCTACAAATACATGGTTGCAGCTAAGGCAGTCTTACGACCACTCACTTTCTCCCCATTTTTCCACCATCAGCCTAATCACAGAGACTTTTGGCTGACCTCTAGCTGTTTTCCCCCAGTTTGACAAACTTTCATTGCTTGTTGTAATGACAATTTCCAAAATAGTATATGTGACATTGGAGGAAAAAAGTCCATGCACCTGGTGGATGCAAAGATAAATGTAGTCCATTTTTACTCCAGTGCTGCTTGTGAAGCAGAATTGTTGAGAAAAACAAGGCTGTTCACACACCGAGCAAAATTGAAATGGAAAGTTTTAGAAATAGCACTCAATGATTCCTTTTGCTAAACTAATACGTTGGTCCTTAAATTAATATTCTGAACCTATTGCTAAACAAACTAGCCTGTGTCATAGTGTAATTTGGGAAAGGCTTGCCTTTCCACAGCACTACAGTCCTGATGTTGCTTCGCAATAACCACAGAGCAGTGCAGGGACTAACGGGGCACTGCAGGTCCAGCTGTGCTTCTGCGCCTGTGTAGGGTGTCAGTTCTGCTCTACCAGACTCCCCTCTTAGTGGGGTCACTGATTCCCCCTCCCAGCCCTGAGCAGCTGGATCAATCCCAGCAGCCATTAACAAGCATCAGTAAGCCTCAGCTGACATTTTGCTGGAAGGTTTTCATTAGCTCAGACCCCCATGGTGCAGAGAGGGTCATGAGGGCAGCACTCAGAGCATACACAGGTGCTGCCTTCTGCTTTGCCTTGGCTGTGGCAGGAGCCTGGAGACCTCCAGCAGTACACCTGGAGCTGAGCCTGCATCTTGCTGTCCCAGCTCACCATTAACATTTGCTGCTTCCACTTTGAGTGGCTGAAATTTTTTCCAGTCTACATTCACTAAGGAAGAAAAATGAGAATTTAAATGAGGTAAAGCTGGTTTTGACATTAACAGGAAAAGATTTGGACAAAAGAAGAGAAATAGCCTCAGACTTCCAAACAGAGCAATGAATCTTCAGAGTAAATGGAAAGAAAGGAAAATCTAAAGAACTTTGCTTATGAAATTATGCAACAAAGAGCATACAGCAATGCTAGGCTGGCTGTGATTAACACAGCCTAACTGACCCATTTAGCGGACAGATGCTAAGGAGAAAGAAGCACTGAATATAATATGGGGATTGCAAAAGCATGAAAAGGCTGTTATCACTTGGGACATGAAGATTATGGACAGATCAGCACCAGTAGCTGCTGCATGGGCATGCCAGGGCGTGCTGTGCCTTGGATTGTATTTGCTGGAAGATGTGAAGGGGGTCTGAGTGGTGCCAGCATTTTTTTGTCCCTTCTCTGGGCAACAGGCATGGGGTTCAGTGTCCAAGTGCAGCGCTCACAAGGGCTGAGCTGGCACCAAGTCCCCATGAGTCCCTAGAGACTCCAGTGAGGGTTCCAAGCCCCCCACCCCAGTGCATCCCTGTGTCTGAGCTCACTGGGTACTTGCTTTCTCCATCCCTGGAAGGAGGTTGTGGTGGGGTGGAGTTCAGCCTTTGCTCCCAGGTAACAGTAATAGGTGTTGAGGTGATGGCCTCAAGTTCTGCCAGAGCAGGTTTGAGTTGGATATCAGAAACAATTCCTTCTCCCACAGAGCAGTGATGCAGTGGCACAGCTGCCCAGGGACGGGGGGAGTCCACATCCCTGGGGGTGTCCCAGAGCCATGGGGATGTGGCACTGAGGGCCGTGGGCACAGTGGGGGTGGGCTGAGTTGGACTTGGGGATATTGGAAGTCTTATCCAACATTAATGACTCTTATTCTATGATTCTGTGATCTTAGGTGTGCAGGATATATCCACAGGAAAACCAAGCCTTGTGCAGGTGAACACAAGTGTACCAGCAGTGAACATCTTTGTGAAACAGAACTATGGGATTAGGAATTTTTCGGCTGAGCACCACGCTTAGCTCTGCAGCTACAGATGCAGCGTTGCCCCAACTGACATCCTTGGCTGTTCGTCGTAGAGGCTTTCTGGGCTGTGGGGTCAGAACCAAGTTTTGTTTACTAGCAAGAATCACGTCTGAAGAGCTGCTCTGGGAGGGAGATGAGGGCTGTGCTGGGACCCCCACCCCAAAATCTGCGAGCAGCACAGAGCGAGGAGGCAGGAGCCCGCCCCCGGCAGCGATGCGGAGGAGGAGGGCGAGAAGGAGGAGGAGGGGGGAGAAGGAGGAGGAGGAGGAGGAGGGAGCCCCGGCTCCGGCACGAGGCCGGGCGGAGCGATGTGCGAGCAGGCGGCGCGGTACTGCCGGGCCGGCGTGCACAGGCTGCTGCGGAAGCCGGCGCCGGCGCTGCGCGGGCTGGACGGGCTGCTGCGCTGGGTCGGGGCCAGGATGAGCGACAAGGGCGTCGCCGACAGGGAGCTGCTCACCTCGGGAGCCTCCGCGCAGAGGAAGGGCACCTCCGTCATCCTCGATGTGAGTGATCCCGAGGTCCCGCGGCTCGGGGTCGGGCATCCCTTTACCGCGGGTCCTGCAAGCCCACGGGAGTGCACTGGGATTCCTGCAGCCCTCCTGCTGCATCCCGCACCCCCGACCGGCGTGGCATCGGGGTTATTTCCCGGTCCTACATCCCCTTGCATGGGTCCTGCATACGCGGCTGGCTGCGGATGGGTGCAGCCCGGCTCCTGCCCTGTCCACCCCGAGGCAGGTAGGAATAGGGTGCAGCTTGGTCCTGCATCTCCCGTACCCTGTGAGCATAGGGTGCAGCCCAGACCCCGCATCCCCTTGCCTGGGCTCTGCACCCCTATTCTGGCTGTATGTGGGGTCCTGCACACTGGGAGCAATTTAAGATTGGGATTATACCATGGGTACTGCACCCCATGGGCTCGCTGTGGGTGCAGATGCAGCTCCAATCCTGTATGCCCTTTCTGCTCATCCCCCAGGCTGGCTGGGCTCCTGTGTCCTCTGGACTGTCTGAGCATGGGAGTACACCCTGGGTCCTGCATCCCCTTTCCCATGTCCTGCAGCCCCTGACCGCCCCACCACTGGGTATGGGAATGCACTGTGAGTTCTTAATACTGGCATCAGCTCAACCTGATGAGGATGCAAGATTCCAAGTCACACAGATCGCTTGCAGGAGGGTCCCCCTGACTCCCTAGGTTTTGGAGTGCACCCTGATTCCTGCACCCCAGTACCTGACAGGGCGGTACTGCCTGCCTGTGGGTGCATCAAATCCAGGGCTCCCTTACCAGGGTCTGGGGAACACACAGGGGTGTGCCTGGTGCCTCCACTTGGGTATTTATAGGCTTCCTGATTAGAGGGCTGGTGAGGTTATTTGTGCTTAAGTGAATTAGGAGAATGGGATGAAATAACTGGTCTGCAAATGGTGTAATTACATGGCTTTTCTGGCTGCAGCGTCTAGTAATTAAATGTTTGCATCCTCAGCTCTGCTATCTCCTAGCTTTAAAAATAAAATGTTGTGAATGCAAAAATAAGCTCCAGGAGCGCTGGCAGTCATGAAGGATAACTCGTGCTCTTTTGACCCCTTCAGTGTCAGGCAGCCAGAGTTCTTCCAGGCAAGCCCTTGTGTTTTCTAAGCCATTTGTAAGTGCTGGTATGGGCTGGTGAGTCTGTAACTCATCCAGTATGTGAGCACCGTGGGCTGCTAGGTATTCCAGTTCCCTAGATGAAACAAGTCAACTGTGTCTATTGGGCAGCCAGAAGCAGAGGAAAGAGCAGAACGCTGATGGCTGGTCATGCCTGGAAAAATTAAAATGAGAAATGAAATACCCGTATGATTTTTTATGTTAAGTTTTTTTCTTTTTTTTTTTTTTTTTTTTTCCCCTGCCCTGCTGAAATCTTACAGCAGTGTGGGCTTTGGAGCATAACTGTAACGGAGGGAGCAAAATTAATTAGATACCTAGAGATTCTTGAGTTAGGGTTGTGTTCCCAGAAAAAATCGGTACCTTATCTGTTCAACTTCACTTTCTTTAAGTGGATTTTTTATTCTACTTTGAGCTGAGAAAATGAGCCCTCAGCTTTTAGAATGGTTCAGCCATTGGGACCTCCAACAATGCTGAACATGCGGCTCCTCAGCCCATTTCCCCTTCACAATGGGACTGGAGCCAGAAAAGGGTTCTGCAAATGTAAAGTTTGAGGGTTTGTGGTGTTTGGTTTTTTTTCTTTTCTCCTTCTAGAGAACATGTTTCTCACTTTTCTCCAGCTACAACAGAAACTTCTATGTAAGTTGTGGCTTTACTATAACTGGCTCTTCGAGGGCATTGTGAAAGCCAGCTTTAACAACTGGGAAAATGTGCATTTGTGTTAATGTTCACAAGGTAGCAAAAGGTAACAATGATTCCACTGTAATCCTCAGGTATTTCCAATTAGCTCATGCAGCTTCCATGCTGTGTGTGCATGTAGGAAGAGCAGTTCCAGCTCCAAGCACTGTGGCTCCTCAGGGGATAGAGGAAGAGCCCTGGCAGATTCTGTGTTTAAATAACATCCTCATGAGTTGAGGTGAGAGCTAAGCTTGGTTTGGCTATGAATTGCATAAGACGGCTCTGATGCTAATGACATGCCGGTCACTTCTTCCTCATCTGTTCTGGATTTCTTTAGACTCAACATCACTAAAGTGTTTGTTCTGACGCTTCTGGGCCATGAGGATGGTAACGGGTCAGTGAGAACTTCCCTGCTCCCTTTGCATCCAAGAAACAAAATGAGGATGTTGTGGAGTGAAAGCAAGGGCTGAGGAAGGAGGTCCAAGGGAAGCAAATGTCTTCTGCCACCAGCCTGGCTGCTCTTCCTTTAGGGATAAATCCTAGCTTAGGGATGTCTCCAGAATTTCCCTTTATTTTTCTGGTGTCGTTCTAGGTAAAAGTTGAATAATGTTTAATAGTTCAGCTCAAACTCTGCTAAAACTGTGGAATGGTGAAAACCTGGTAACAGACTAATGAGGAAGACATTTAAGTCCTTAGCATTTCTTGAAGCTGACAGCAATGAAACCAGGAGTGAGAGATGATCTTGAGTGATGGTGGCAGATGGAATGGGAGATGTGCTCAGTGGTGAGCTCACAGTGTCACCTGGTGTCACCCAGGGGTTCACCTGGGTACTTGTGTCCCACGGTGAGGTCGCACAGTGCTGCCCTGTCATCAGGAGCCCCAGAGTGGGACTGACGGCATCCAGGCTGCTGGAGATAAATGAAGTCTACCATAGCTTCTGAGACAAGATTGTGGCAATGTTTATATAGAATCACAGAATCATTAAGGTTGGAAAAGACCTCTCAGCTCCCCAGGTTCAACCCCTACCCAGCCCCACCATGCCCTCTAACCACGTCCCTCAGTGCCACATCTCCATGGGTCTTTAACACCTCCAGAGATGGTGACTCCATCACCTTCCTGGGCAGAATTCCAGCTGTCCCAACCCTTTAGTTGATGCATGGGGTTGTTGTGTCTGAAGTGCAGAACCTGGCACTTGTCCTTGTTAAAGCTCATACAGTTGGCCTTAGCCCATTGATCCAGCCTATCCAGATCCCAGGGCCTTCCTACACTCAGACAGACCGATAGTTCCCCCCAATTTGGCGTGAACTGCAGAATTACTGAAGATGTTCTCAATCCCCTTGTCCAAATCATCACTATAGATATTAAGCAGGTCTGACCTCAGCAGTGACCCCTGGGGATCACCACTCATGACTGCCAGCTGGATGTAACTCCATTCACCACCACTCTGTGGACCTGGCTATCCAGGCAATTTTTTACCCAGTAAAGACTGTACCTGTCCAAGCCATGGGCTGCAGCTTCTGCAAGAGAATACTGTGGAAGACAGTGTCAAAGGCTTTACTAAAGTCTAGGCAGACTACATCCACAGCCTTTTCCTCATCCACCAGGCAGGTCACCTGGTTGTAAGAGATCAGACTGAGGTCTCTGTCTTCTTCCTGGGCTGCTTGAGATGCCCTTTGTGGGCAGTTTCTGCCTGTAGCCAGGCGAAAGAAATCCCTTTTGAAAGGGAGTTGAAATTGGCATGGTGGTCCCACAACCCACCTGTGGTCACAGTGACATTTCCACTTCAGAGATGATCCACAAGTATCATAAAACTTACAAAAAGGGAAAATAGGAGTGGGGTGTTGGAAAAAACTATATCAGGCAGTATTTGCTGCGTGTGACTGAGTATACATGCTGGGATTATTGGCTCCCCAGATGTGGGAAATTTCTAGACAGGTATTACACTGTCTGGGAGTACTTCAGTTCTTAGTTACAGACTGTTCTTAGTCACCTCCTCACTGTCCATACCACCTCTGATCACACAAGTGGGAAGCACTTTGAATGGAAGTGCTGAGGATCAGCAGTTACGCTGCCATGTTGGCTCCTTTTGGGGTGAAGCTGCTGGGAGGGTGCACAGCCCCTGGCTTGGCCAAATGTGGCTCCGTGCCTCATGGCCCACTCTTTATGGTCTTAGTTTGAGAAGTCCTGAGGAAAGCAATGCCCTTGCCTTCATGTCAGATTAAGCTTTTAGTTTGACCTGCTCTATCTTTTGCTGAGGACTAACTTATCTCTGCCATCCGTGCTCCATCCATGATGGGCTGCACCCAAGGTTGGTGCAAGGTTGGAACTACCAGCACTGTAAACAGAACAGTGTCAGCTGCAACCCCTGCCACTCTCTTTCAGCCTTGATTTCTGAGAGCTAGGCAGTAAAAAGCAGAGCAGGTAAGAGGAGAAGTGAAAGGCAAGGGCGTGGTGTCAGCTGCTCCTCTCTAGGAGGATGTGCTGTGAGCCCCATGTGCAGCTCTGCAGCTTTGTAGGGGCACTCCGACTGGGACCTGTTTCCATGCCAACAGTGTATTTCCTACTGAAACAGCCAGGCCTTTGCCCTGCGTGGGGAAAGACCATAGCAGGACGGCCTGTAATGATGCAGTCCAAAGCAGTAATACTTCGAATCATTATCTTCTGTCATTAGCACCAGAAAGAATAGCAGAGTTTGTTGGAGAGGAATTTCTTTATGGGAGTTCATAAAGCCTTGTCTCAGCTCCAGATGAGGACAAACTCCAGATTAGGAGAGGAACAGCATAGGGATGAGGGAACACCATGAGCAGATTCGCCTGGATTTTGTGTCTCTCTGGGTGGTGTTCTCTCACCTGCAGGCTCTCCTCACCCAGGAGAATGGGTCTTGTTTGTCCTCGATTCTGCACTGAGATCAGCAGAAACAATTCTGGCCCAGCTTCACTCTATTTTAAATCAACATCATGCTAACCTGCTGAAAGAATAATGAACTCTACAAATCCTGCAATAATTCCTAGGCTTGTTAGGGGAGTGATTGTGTCAATTTAATGAAATTGCCAAGAAAACCTCCCTCAAGTAGCCTCCAGTGTAGCTCTTTCTCATCCAAGAGCCCTGAGAAATCAGAGCTGAGCGATTAAATTTGAAACATCAATTTTACTTAAAGTTTATTATTACCACCAATGTTTTGAATTGCTTTCTTCTGTCAAATAATTGCAGTAGCTATTTGAGAGCACCACAAAAAATGTATATTTTAGAGAAAGCCATTGGAACTCTTGAAAGATGTTGCTGGCTCAAGATACGATAGTGATTATGTGCATCTAACCACCTGGCAAATGGAGCAAGATAGGATAAGAGGCAATGGCCTCAAGTTGCATCAGAGGAGGTTCAATTTGGATATTAGGAAAAACTTCTCAAGAAGAGTGGACAGGAAGTGGCGCAGCTGCCCAGGGAGGTGGGAAAGTCCCCATCCCTTGAAGTGTTCAGGAGCCATGGGGATGTGGCACAAACTGTGGTTTGAGGGCAGTACTGGAGATAGATAGGTGGAATGTTGGACATGATGATCTTAGAAATCCTTCCCAACCTTAATGATTCTAAGTATGCTGCAGGCAGAGAACTGCATGCACTTCAAGAGTACATCCCATAACATGGGTTAGTCTGGCCCATGCTGTGGGAATCCTCACTGTGCAATTTAGCTTGTGCTTCAGAAGTTTCCCTGATAGCTTTGTAACACGACTGATGAGGAGAAGCTCAGTGCAGTACATTTTGGGCTAGATAATTTCTTTTTACCAGCTGTGGAAATAGCACCCTCCAGCGTGGCTGGTGCAGTTTGTTTTAGTTTTACAGTTTAGTGTAAATCCTTATTCCTTGCAGGAGCAACGTTTTTGGCAGCACTGGCAAGCCATCACAGAGCAAATCACGTCTTCATCAGCTTCCTGATGCTCGCTCTTGCTATGGGGCCGTCTGCCCATGCTAGCAGGTGGTTGTATCTTGAATAGGTTTCTTTTCTAGTGTCTTGTTTTATCGTTGTCCTAGGCAAAATTTTAGTGATCCAGTGAAGAACTTGCTCACTGACAGCAATGCTAAGCAGCTTGGTCCTGTAAAATAAATCAAGGACATGGGTCGTCCAAGTCAGGAATACAATCAATTCCATGAGAATGGTGCTCATGGCCAAGTGGTATGTGCAGAAACCCTGGGGCTGCCTGATGTCCCACTGGCCCACTAATTCTTCCATCCCATTGAAAACAATGCCTGCTCCTTCAAAACCCATATCCTCAGTGATGTCCATGAGCCTGCAGACATGTAGGATTTCCCTCTACACTTCTGGTTGTTCTTAGAAATGGTCAGCCCAAGAAATGTGGTGGCAAGCTCTAAACCTTGTAGGGTTTGTATGGCTCCTGAAGGTTGGGATGTGGCTGTTTGCACTATTCGTCTGAAGCAGAAGGTACCTGCTTCTGCCCAAGTGTGCCAGAAAGAGCAGCTTTGACTTAGCCCTGTGCAGCCTAGGAAGCACTTACAGCAGAAGAATGATTAATGTTGCTTAATTAAACTGTATGCATTTAAATAGCATATTCTGCAATGCAATTTGTCTCTTGGGTTTCTTATGTGCAGCAGTTTCTTCTCTGACTTTTTTTTTTTTTTCCTGTAACGATTTTATGACCCAGAAAAGAAGAGATTGCATTTTTCTGGCTGCCTCTGATCTGTCCTGCTGGTACTTTTATTCCCTCTGCAGGGAAATGCCTTTGAACAGGTAAAATCTCTGCTCTGGCTCAAATGAATAGAGTCAGATGTGAAGAGATGATGATAATGTTGTCCTTTTTTCTGTCCAGTTTATGAGCATCTTAATTTTTCAGTAATTTATGGCCAAACCTGTGCTAACAGCCATTCCTGGCAGCAGCCTGTAAGATTCCAGCCCTTGCACAAGGGTTCTGCTATAAACTACAGTGTGCTAGGAGTCTCTTCCTACCACAGACCTATTGGTTACTTCCAAAGCCAAAGCACTGATGCTTCCCAGGGAGTGTTTGCCCTTTGCACTGGAGCAGGAGCTGGGATTGGGTGGAGGAAGCATATGGATGTTTGGGGGGTGCAACCAAACACCTGAGTAATGCATCTTTCTCTCTCTCTTTCAATTCCAGATTTTTAGAAGAGCTGACAAAAATGGTAAGTCTGGACATTCATGTCTCACCATTTAGTCACTGAACTTTTGTCAGTATTGCTGTTCTTTTTCCCAGATGGTAACTGTTAAATGCCATCCTTCTTACTGGGACTGACGCTGGTGGTGTTTAAGCATTGAAATAGGTTTTGTCATTTCTTTGGCTGAGGTATTCTTAGAGCAGATGTGATACCTGTGTGCAAGTCTGCACGGCAATACCTGCCAAATTTGGGACAATTTTAAAAGTCTCCAAATAACATACATATTTTTGTTAACCTCAGTCAAGTGATAAATGAAGGACCAGTTCTTTTCATCTTGGAACAGCTTTGCAAAATAAACCTGCACTGTGAATATCTGTAGCCTGGTTCTGGATGCACTGGGCACACAAATCAGAGAAAAGACCACTAAGACCATCAAGCCCATCCCCAGCCCAGCCCCACCATGCCCACTGCCCTCGTCCCCACAGTTCTGGACACCTCCAGGAGCAGTGACTTCTTTATCTGCCTGGGCAGCTGTGCCACTGCCTCACTGCTCTTTGGAAGAAGAATTTTTTCCTAATATCCAATGTGAACCTGTCCAGCACCACAGTGCTCCCCTGGATGCTCTTTGACCATCAGATAGGGGTGTTTGCATGGCTCAGAAGTGGAGAGTCTGGGTCACAAAGTATTAAATAATCGTGGATCTCCTGTGACATATTTGCCATACAGTCCTTGCAAAAATTTGAAAAAAAATTACAAATCTGGGTACAGGTTGCTCTGGTATTGTCATGTAAGTCCTGTCCTGCTGGTGCACATCTGCTGTTCCAGCAGACTTGGGTTCTCAGTTGTGCTGCTGAGTAGATTTCCACCTGCTTCCAACTTGCTAAATGACTGAATCTCCAGTTGAAATTGTCATATACAAGTTCCCATGCTACTCCTTCCACTATTAGCTTAAGGAGGTGTCCTATTTAAAGTGCAAATCCCTCAGCCAAGAGTTCTTACATGTGGAATTCTTTCCAGCATCTTGATTGCTTCCAGCCCCATAAAGCAGTGTGTGTGGTGTGAACACAGCATGGCCAGTTCAGGTGTAGTAACTGTGGAGCACGGCCATGGGGATTGCAGAGCTTCTCCCTCTCCTTTCTTCCAAAGCTCCTTACCATAAATTATTAATTCATGTACAATAGAATTAGATGCCATAGCATGTTATCCTAGAAACATTTGAGTGGGCAGGGACTCCTACAGGCCATCCAGACCAACTCCCCTGTAGTGGAAAGGGGGTTCTACATGTACTGCCACGCTGAGGTTCCTGCCTGCAGGTGATTTCACTCAGTGCCTACATGTGCTAAGGTGCTTAAGGTAAGGTAAGGGAGCAGCTCTTGCTCATTGAAGGATGCCTTGGTCTCTCTGACCAGTTTGAGTTGCTTCCAGCCTCTTCCATATTGACAACAGCTACATTTATGATCATCTATATGAGCAACAGACTGGGTAGACCATCTTGATGTGACGAATGCATTGGAGATGTCTGGAGAAACTGGTAAATGGCCTGAGAAAAGGGCAAAGGACTGGGCCATGACCTGACAGTGAATAATTCAGCTACCTCCAGACATGCTTTGAGGGGCATGGCTGTCAGTCACTCAGAATGATCTTTTCCTTCTGTGCAGGAGTGTTTTTCCTTCTTTGTTAATAAACCCACCTAATGCCATGTAATCCCTCCAGCCCTGGAAAACAATATTTAATCATTTAATTGGCATGTGGAAGGAAAATGGAGGCATCTTGCTGTGGGCTCACGAAGCAGAGCTGTCCATCATCTGAGTTATCTACTGCATACTTTGCTACTCTCTTCCAAAAGCTGTTAATCAATTACAAGATAAATAGCCCAGCATTCAAATTAATGGCAGCATTCAGATTAAGATGCTTTGATTTTGATAGAACAGCCTAATTTCAACGATTAGTTATAAAAATGTTTCTTGATGGAAACAGAGCTCGTATCTTAAAATTTCTGGTCCCTGCAGCAGGGGCTCCCATGGCTGGGCATCTTGATAGCACTGTGCTATCAATGCAAGATGCTGCCATTAGCTGTTGTAATGTGAGCAGCTGGCCAGAGAGCTGACTGGGCACTTTGCTGCAAATAACACCAGGCTGTGTCACCTTTAGCAAATAAATCTTGCCCCCAGGATCTCTGGGAAGCACCTTTTCCTAGAGTATGCAATCAGTTCTGCTCAGAGCATATTCTGCATGTAATTTGGTAAAGCTGACGCAATGCATCATCAAGTCATTTTCTAAAGGGCATCTTTCCCTGTTTTGTATCTGTTATCTTTATAATTATCTGTAACCACTGTCTTGGAAGATGGCTCAAATACTGACCCTGCTAAGGGATAGGGCAGCATGAGTGTGGCTGAAAATGACAGTGGCATTCTAGGGACACAACTGTATCACCCCATTAATTCACTGCAATGACAGGTAAGCTTGCTACCTCCACCCTGTTGCTCTTGGTTGTAGATGTGATAAGAAATGATCTACTGGAATTTACTCAGATGTGTGTTTGAAGACATGGATGGGAACAAAGCCATTCAGTGTGTGCTCTCTTGAACACCTTCAGCTGTTCTTGGAAATGAAATACAAAGAAATCTGAATGTAAAATTTTAAAAAATTCATTGGTTGTGCATGGAGGAAGGTGTCAGACTTCTGTTGACCTGACCTTCAGCTCAGAGCCTGCTGAGGATGTAGCAGAGCTGTAAAGAAAGAGCTGGAGCACAGCAGCAGCAGGTGGATGGAAAGGGCTCCTTGATTAAGAGCCTCTGAGGATGGCAGAGTGATGCCCATTCCCATCCCAGGAGGCTCATTTAAATAGTTGCCCACAGCTATCTGCTAGAGGCACTTAGGAACTCCTTAAAGGAGATTTATGCCTTTAATACCTTTACTTATAAAGCATATCCTAGTGTGGTGAGTTTGTGCTATAAATGATGGGGGCATGTCTGCTGCTCACAAGCAGGGAGCACAGCAGGGAACATAAACAGCTTTGGACACCAGAGTGACCATGGAGCCCTGCTTGCAGCAGGATGGTGCCAGCTCCTCTTAGAGCTCCTCCTCCCACCCGTAACCAGCAGCGCTGCTCTGATAATGGCTTCCTAATGAGCCAGTAATGCCCCATGCCAATGCTGTCCCCTCAATCCATAGAACTGAGATATGTCATAATGTCACCTGAGAGGAGGGATTCTGGGTTAGAAGAATGGGACAAAGGTCCCAGAGCCGCACTGCACTTCCCCTGCCTTATCACTACATGTGCCAAGTGCCCCATGCTGTTTGCTTGATGCCCTGCAGCGGGTGCAGTTGTTCCTTAGTCCTTTCTTTATTCTGGAAGCCTAAGAGACTTGTTCAGCCTGCATGGACCTATCTCTTTTTATGGCATCTCACTTCTGGGCAAAAATGTTTTTCTGGAGTTGTTTGGAATTTAAAAATAGCAGGCATCAATTATTAATTACCTTAATTTATTGAAACATTTTTAGAAGGCAACTAAGTTGGAATTTGGCATGGCAATTTTACTCATAGTTATTAAAGGACTTGGAGTACTTGTCGTGAGTTAGCAACACCACACAGGGTTCTTGTGCCAGGAAGATTTCTTTATTGCTGTGATGATCATGATCATGATGTGTATCCGTACCCGTGCTTATTCTTCTAAGCAAGCCTTTTTATATTCTCACACATGTATTCAGTAAATTTCCACTAACAATACATTGTCTAGAAAGCAAGCAAATTCCATAAAAAGTCTTAAAATCAGCAGAGAGTTTATCTTATGCCTAGGTACAAAACACCCCTGTTTATTCAGACCTTTGTCTCCTTTCCAGAGCCTCATTATCAGTGAGTTGACGAGGTCAAGCTGACCTCTCCATCTCCCACAAGTACTTATCTCCCCATCTTCCCCATCTACTTGAAACCCTTTTAGGGAACGCATTTATGCAGAACTGGAATGGTGGTGACCAGGTGGGATCTCAATAATACAGCACTGAAACACCTCATGGCTTTGACTTTAATTGCTCTTATTACATCTTAAGAAGATTCCAGGCTAGAGCTGCAACACCCCATATTACATATCAGGATGGAGAACCATCTGCAGCTAATAACCCTCCGAATGCACACAGCTCTTCCTTGCACAGCCACAACTGTGTGCCTGTTTTGCAATCTGTGCTCTTACTATGAGCTCTCAGAGCACTGTGGTCCCTGCTCCTAATGAGTTACTCATCAAAAACCACTTAGCTTCCAGGTCAGGGTAATTACCTGCTGCTTGACTACTGCTCCTCACACCCAGGGAAAATCTTGAGCTATTCATATCTCACTGGTGCATCCAAATTAATTCATTAGTTCTAAGTAAGAATATTTATAATTCTTGCATAATAAAAAGCAGTATTAGCAGCCACCCACATTTAAGAGGAAAAATGCAGTGATGAGTTAAGTTTTTGAAGTATGGCTAAAACTGTTGGGACCCAGCAACCAGCCTGAATTTATTTTTCTTGCTTAAAAATAAATCATAACAACCAACATCTTGCGTTTTGATAGTCAAAATTTCATGTTGCAAACAAGGAGCACCTTGTAAAACTACATAACAATGTTTTTTTGCAAGGGGAAGTTTTGATCTGCTTTTAGTTATTCAGACTTCTGTGTAAAGTATAAGTTTCCTAGCTCTCTTCGTTGTACATTTAGTTATCCTTCCAAGTCCTTGCTGAGTTCATCACATGTGGCTTTGAAGAGATGACATCTGTTTAAATCAGGACACGCTGTTCCCAAAGTGATAAACAAAGCTATCAACCAGATGAATTTTGAGCGAATGCAAAAATTATGAAAGATGTTTTCTGGCCTTCCCTACAAGCTGTCACGAGATGTATCCTGTACTTCTGCCCACCCTTTAAACCCTTGAAATTGGTGTACTGAATCAGGGTTTAATTTCTGCCATTGACTAGCCTGGTGATGGTAACTGCCCAATGTTTGTGCCACCAAGCCCTTCCAGGGATGCTTTTTTCTTTCAGCACAGGTAT